CTTATCCAGGAGTGGCGAGATGTTCTTGCATCTTTACCGTCATTGGAATCCTCAGAAAACGAGGCCAGTGTTCCAATCACTCTCGGTGATGAAGAAATCGGTGAGATCCTGCTGACTTTTTTCCAAGCTTACAACTCCACCCTCGAAGCAGAAATTCCTCAACCATTTGCGTCACTATTAGGCGTGGCCAAACTATCAGAACTGCTGGACGCAGAACACTTGCGCCTGCTCAAGGAGCACATGCAACGCGCTTTTCATCTGTTGGCACTTTACGGTGACGTTGAAGTGCTTCTTACAATCAGTGCATCAGAAATCGACCGTGTTATTTTCTTGTCAGAGGAGCTGTCATATGCCATGGCGGGCTCAGAAAGGCATAACGCGTATGAGTTGTCGAAAAAGACTGGTGCGAGAGTAACAATTCGTCCCAGTCTCCCCGGATCAGGATTTGGTCTTGTTCTTCAAGCTATTGGTACTGAGTCTGCTGTGGCGTCAGTAGAGCGAGCACTGAATGCCATGGCAACGCAAGCCTTGCGTAATAGGGCTGCCATTATGTCAGTTTGCTTCGTTAAGGAAGCCAAACTCATGGTGATAGAAGGTTCTCTCAGTGACGATGACCGCATCACTTTGGTGCCGTACTACGGAAATCGCCACCCCACCCATGATAGTCTGGCTTTGTACGTGCCCATGCTGATAAATCCGAGATCTGACCTTAGGCGTATAGGAGCCGCCTTTACCCGATATGAGTTCCAAAGCTTTAAGGAGAAGTTTCTCACTCAAGTTCAGGTATGAATTACGATGACTGTTACAGTGCTGTAGACGTTGCTCTGAAAGTTTTGAAGGCACTCGGGTTGATATCGGGAAACTTCGCAGATCTTCGTGCAGTGCTTTGGACACTGATCTGAAAGTTTTGAAGGCGCTCGGGTTGATATCGAGAGACTTTATAGATCTTCGTGCAGTGCTTTAGACAGTGATCTAAAAGTTTTGGGGGCTCGGGTTGATACCGGGAAACGACGGAGATCTCCGTACCAGAGACGAATCTTGTGAGCTTTACGAATGCATGATTCCACGAATAAAATATTTGCCATTGTTTTAAAAAACAAATTATAAAAAATTAGCATTATTTCCCTGAATGTTTTTGGGCCTTTCTTCATCTCATTTTCCATTACATCACCTTCTGTTGAACATTTGATTTTTGAACCTAAAGACCTTGATTCAAAGATTCAAGACCAGTCATTGTTATTTGGCGGGATGTCGGGGGGGAGGGAAGTTGGAGGATTTTTGGGGGTTCACATGGTTTTCAGGGGCAACATAGGGGGAGATCAGTCGTTGCTAACAGAGTATAAAGGGGGACTATAGTAAATTGACTGCCAATTAACTGCCAATGGGGGAGGGGGAACGCATAAAATTATTCTAGAGCCCTATGGGGTTTCAGGTAATTTTATCGTGACACAGAGAAAATTCTCTAAGCTCCCCTTCCCTCGTAGGCTATGAATTGAGACTGTTCCCTTCACTTCCTTTTTTTTTTTCAATTTTCCAGATGATAGAGAGGGATTTTGTGCCTTCCATTCACGGTGAAATGGAGTTCGCCGTTCACTTCGGACGCATTTATGTTTTAAATATTCCGAAATCATTTACTGAGGACACAGAATCGCCAACTGTTAGTGTGTTCCAAACAAATCTGTCACGTGGTTACAAAACCTCGACCCAGTGTGCTCTCCACCACTCCTAGAAATGACAAAAGTACGTCAAGACTCTAAAAAGTCGAAAAGTTAAGAAGCGAAAGAACAACGAAGTCGGGGAGGATGGCAAAAGGCACCAAACCGAAACCCCTCGAAGCTCTTTCTTTACAATCGTTACATCGCATGAGAAAATCATGGGTTTTCTGATGCAGCGCGGTTTTTTTAGAGGAAAAAAGCTCAGAGTCTTACCTGGTTGAAATACACACGGATCACGAATTCTGTGTTCTCACAGATGGAGCTTTTAATTTTCTCGAAATCATGTATCCCAAGCTGCGCTGGTGTGCGGTAGATGTGAAGAGGTCTTGGCGGGAAAATCCCGAAGATCATGACATCACTGATCTAGACGGAGTCGAGACTGATGTCCGTTTCTTATTACAGACCCGCCATGCACTGCGCTCAGAGGACATACGTGGAACTGCTTATGAACAGTACCGTGATACCTTGCAGCCTCAACATTCCGCACAGGCTTCCCGATGTCCTTATGTAGTTAAACCGGAAGTTTGGAAGGAGGTGGCCTTGATTCGACACAAAAAGTCCCGGATATACAAGCTGAACGAAGACTTAGCAATGCAAAGCGAGTTTAGGAAAGCCCTTCGTATCAGTGTGAACGAGGTTACTGAGTATTCTCGACCCACAGAACACGTATCTGCCTTCAGTAAAGTTATGACACGATGGGAAGTTGTCGCCAAGGCTGGATTACCCAACAGTTGGAGTAATAGCGAAGCTGTGGAGAAGCTATTGAGGGATATCTGGGCCTTTGCTTTTACTTTGGCCTCGCATTTATCCGACTAAAAGAAAAGACACTGAACTGTTTTATCTTAAGTGACAGATTTTTTTTCTCTCCACAAGCTTGTGTAAGTTAGCTCGCTCCGTCATTCATAGCGAGTGTAAATAACGCGATAAAAGTCTCTCAGAGCTTGAGGTGCTGAAGCGAGAGAAACCCGTCACCCATTTGATAAGGCTGATCTTGATAACTGAGGACTTACTCTTTAGAACAATGACAATTACTTTGAATTGTGATGCTAGCTTGACTTCAGAAGAATAGATTTGTGCGGTTCTACAAGTAGCTGTTATTTGTAGTGGGAAATTCAGCCAGAGGTTGTTTCCAAATCTCAAGAACGTGGAAGCAGTATTTCCCTTAGCTATAGAGCTGTCGAGGTTTCCTTCCCCGGCCTTTAATTCATGTAAAATCGAGTTTGACCCTTTACACTCTAACATCAGTATGCATATTCTCCATACTACTCTCTACATTTTCGGGGTTACTGAGAAGGAGAATTTGTTAAACAATCAAGAGCATTTTAAGTGGTTGATTATATCCTTTCTTCCTGTGACAATAATTTGTGATTCAGGGGCGATATTGGAATGAGAAATTAGATGTTGGTCACTCTTAGGCATCAAAGGACTAAGTTCATATGACAACATTCCCTGTTTATTAATTTCCATGGGACAATAAAGCGATTCATTTCATTCGAAGTAAAACTCAAACGATGGTTAATCCCCCCCCCCCCCCCTTTTTGTTCCAGAATTGTAAATAAGCGCCTTGCGCCCATTCAAGGGTATACACTTGTAAGGGACCCACTTGCAACCTCCAACAGGCTTTAGCACTTTAAATCTGTCACGTCACAGATACTTCAGTCTGATTGGCTCCGCCACTCACTGTCCGTTCCGTCATAGACAGCAACTAAAGTGACCAATCAAATTACACACATGGCGTGACCATATATATGCGTTGGTGACCAGGCGTGAGGTCAAGATGGCTGGATATTGACCGAGTTCTCTTTCTGCGCTTTAAAAAGGGGAAGAAAAACAAGGCTAATATCTAGCCATTTTAAGCGAACAAGTTTTGGCAAATAAAGGATTGGTTAGATCGCAAAAAAGATTTTGCTCTGATATGGATCAAGAATTACTTGTTTATTTCGAGGGTCGGAGAAGAAAGCCAGCTGTGTTTATAGCACAATGAACCTACGAGAATCGTTTATGTTTTCTTTGTTTTGACTGTCTTCTGCTGCTTTTGGGGACTCAAGCACTGACATTGTCCAAAAGTTAAGAACTTTAAGGGTCCACTCCACGAATTCTTTTTTTTTGCGCGGGATTAATGCGGGCAATCCCGAGCGGGTAAGATGAGGCCATCTTGCCTGCTCGGGTAGCTAATGAGAACAAAGGATTCGTTTCATATCGCCTAAGAGCGCCGCCGGTTTTATAATTAGCATCATTATTCAATAAAGATATGAATCTGTCCTGCTCTTAATGAATATCTTGTAGCTTTACACAAAAACAATAAGATAATCAGCTGTTGAATTCTGTGTGTGGATGTTGATTAAGGCTTCTTTCATATCAACTACAGCTCAAAGTTAATTTTTAGATATATATTACGTGAAATTATTTTGGGATGTGGCTTGGTTTCCCAATAATGCGTAAACAGTTTTAAATGTTAGCTCAGTCAAATGTCAATAAAACAAAATTGATTGAATTGTGAATTTTCATAGATCTTGAGATTTTTACTTATGGCTCGATGCACATGTGTTTACCCTAACTAACGGCGCCAGAAGTTTACTTAAGTGTCACATTAGAACGCTCCTTTGAGTTCCAGACAGAAACATTAATAATTTTCCTCGAATCGATCAGTCTGCTCAAAATTTGGTGATCTTGCATTGTTGTGCAAAGTTTTGAAACGTACGTATGGAGCCATTGCTGTGAACGTAAGTTTTTAGTTTCACCACGCTACTGTTTCCCTCCCACTCGTGGTTTGCTCAATTGTTTTAAATATTTTACGTCACGTCTTTTTCTGCAGCCAATGAGAACACCCAAATAAGGTTAGCTGATGCAAGTATCTATTAAACCATGAGAAGGGAAAGTCCCTTTGAGCTATTTTTGGGAAAATGAAAGCAGGGAAAAATCCCATGTTGTGGAAACCGAAATATATATATAGGCTTTTGTGACGATTTCAATTTCAGTAGAGAAGTTGAAAGCTTGCTATGCACTGGATGCGGTAGATATCAAAATGGTTTCAAGGGAATCCTTAGAAATCTGGAAGGATATCAGGAAACGTAAATCCGAAGAGCAAAAGCATCTTCTTCGATGGCAACTTCAAGCAAGGGAGCCGATCCGTCGACTCTCAGACATGAAACCAGGCGACCACCTCTTGATGACAAGAAACCCAGGTAGTTTGTTGGAGTACGCGCACCATTTTTCTGCAGCGGAATAGACGAGATAAGCGGAAAGCCAAAGATCATTCACTATTATAACACACCGGGAAATGCCATGAAGCAGTTGTTTCCGACCTCCCTCGGTTCCGGTTCATGTCTCGAACAGTTGGGGAAAATTCAGGAGGCGACTTTGCCCGACGGAGACTTGATCGCAAAAGAATGATGTCGATTCAGAGACGGACCTGTTAAGAGTCGAAGTGGAAAGGGTTGTTTGGCCGGACGAACTGCGACAATACTCGACAGAAGAGGTGATTGCAAGAGCTCTTAGAAGGATGAACGAGAAGTACTACCATCTGATAAACAACAACTGTGAATCATTCGTTATGTGGTGTTTGTGTGACCTTAACATTAGCTTGCAGGTGACTAAAACGGGGAAAGCCCTCTCGGAGACATCAAGTGCCGCGATAAGAACACTTTGGCATGGGATTCAGCAGCTACCGAAGGTGGGTGCCGAAATTTGGGACGACTTTGCAGCGGCTGCAGCTGGAAGAGCTGTGAGAAATGTCTTCTCGAAACTCGGAATCGGCATTGGGTTGTATCGACCATGGTTATCGAAACCATTATGGCAATTGTGGACATTCGTAAGGAGTACGCGAAATGGAGAGGTGGAGTATTAAATAAAACAAGAAAAGAGTTCATCGCGGAAGTGGTTGACAAAGTGATATTGGCGCTTTTTCGTACCGGCGGAAGTATCGCTGGGACGATTGTAGGTCAAATTTTTATTCCTGTTCCAATCGTTGGTGGCCTCGTTGGAGCTCTACTCGGAATGTTTGGCGGTCATTTGGTTGGGAAATGGTTCTCAGCGCAAACAAAGGAAGCTTTTGGGCAGGCCATTGACGCACTCATAAATGAACTTGATGAAATGAAAGCAAAACTTAAAGCTCACTCACATAAATTCGAGCAAAACATAAAAAATATATACTGTTTCTCTCCAAAATGAAAGACGGTAAAGATACAGTCTTGTTCTCCACCTAACCAACGATAGATAAGCAGCTCAGCGCTGTGTGATACGAACTTAATACATAATATCGTCGCCCTAAGTTGGGATTCTTGACAGACTGCTTTCTCTTCAGCGTTATTCGTGGAGGTAGTTTAAAGACGTGAAATGATATGCTAAGGAACTAACAACAAATGCCAAAAACAGGCGTTTGAAAAAAAAAAAAGAACAAGTGCTTGATTGTTCAACGAAAGAACGAGTGAGGGAACGAAAGGACTGACTGACTTGACAGAGGAACGGAAGTACGAACCGATCAAAACGCAAGTAGAAAACGCTGAGTAATGTAAATTCAAATTTAGTTACTACATATAGTTGAGACATGTGATCTCTCTAAAAAGTTAGATTTCTATTAAAGTAGAATTTAATATATATTATAAACTATGTTATTGTTTAAAGTCAATAAAAGGAAAATTCTAGGTTTAATTTTGTGTTAGGTTTTTATTCGTATCTTTTTATTTTACATATTGACATATTTTTTTCTTTGATGCACTAATTCAGTCAACAAACGATTTTCTTCGTCTTCTTCTTCTTCTTCTTCTTTGTGATAGCGAATGTAAAGGTATAAATAAATGATAGAATAAACATCTCATTCAATAATCGAAGCCTTGGTTATTATTTTACGGTTCAGAGCATTGCAACTTTCGGATTGAGGAGAGCGTTGCGTGACAAGCCGGACATGACTACGATGCGGAGCGTTACTTTGCTTATAGGTTGCAGCAGTTAACGAGTTGATAGAGGCTCAGGAACAACTTGAATTCAATGTGTACGACTGAAAAGTTTATTATTTTCAGCGTTCATAGGTTTTTCTTCACGGAAACATCAATTTCCTCCGGTGTCTGCTTCGAATTGAAGAACAGTTTGCTTGTTTGCTTTTGCTGCACACAGAAATAGGAAACATTGAGGTCTTGCAAAATGTTTACTCAACTAGGAATAATTACCATTTGTCACTCGATTTTTTTTATTTGACTTAGAATACCTCCTTGGGTTCTGAGATCAGGGGAAAACATAATTAAAAGAGCCTGTAAGATGTTAGTTTGTTGACTGGATTGAAAAGTTTTCAGTCATGATAGACTATTCCACCCCATTTCCGGCTCCAAAACTTCAGAAAGCATTTCCCTTAGGAGGATAAGACCCTAGACCCACGGGTAAGCTGTGACGTCACTTAAGTTCCATCCTCACAGACAAGCCTAGGGACGAGGTTGGCGGAGCATGACTCTCCGAGAACAAGAACTAAGGAAAGGGGGACTCTTAAAAAAAAAACCATTCATTTATCAATCCTGTTTTGGATAGCAAATGGTACAAATGATAGAAGATCGTCATCGATTAGGACCTTTTTGGGATTATGCTAAAAAAGTTGTTGCTTTTGGCATCTCAAGTTCACAACTTACCCAAGGCATCGGGATTGTAAAGGACTGTAGGAACAACGTGTTCAGTACGCTAAATGGAAAACTGTATACCTGAGAAACGATGCTGCCACTTCCGATGTGGATCGCAACGTTCCGCTTTTGTTGTATTCTCCACAGTGAATAACCACTATTGACTGCTTACCCTATTAAGAATAAGACCTCTGAAATCACATCCCGTCTAGCAGTCCTCACCCGTTTAAGCCTAACGAGGGAGAGCCCTCCTCTCACTTTCCAAGACCAGACCAAAGAGTGAGTAACATCCTGCTAAACTACTTGGTCGTGACCATGCAAAATCAAGTATTCATGCAGGACATTTGAAGTTTCAGGACCACCCAACTGATTGTAAGAGAATTACCTCATGAAACTTGTTTCTAGGAATGTTTTGGCCAAGAACCAAATGTGATGAGAACAAGACAGCTGAGATACCAAGCTTTGCATATTTACTCTTTAACTCCCAAGATCTGATTGTTAATTCTCCCCTCTAGCTGACACACATTTCTTTGTAAATAAGTTACGAGAATTTGGTATCAGATCGAGATAAGTTTGAATATTCTCATGAACTGTTTGCTGGATAATGTTTAGGATTCATAGGGAAAAGTTACTTGTTAATCACTCCTGGGAGCTAAAGGTTGATTTAAGGCTGAGTAGTTTGTTTTTATATGGGGGAAATCCTCTGGGGGTGGACTTGTAACAGGGCAACACCTCTAGTTACTAAGTTTGGGTCTCAGAGGTAGAGACACAAGTGAGTCTTGTTGCAGTGGGCTGTACTGCATGCCACAAGGTATGATACCAGAACATCTTTATCCTTTAACTCCCAAGATCTGATTGTTAATCCTCCCCTCTAGCTGCTACACATTTCCTTGTAAATAAGTTATGAGAATGTGGTACTGGATCAAGATGATAACTTCAACCTGATAAGTCTGAGTATTCTCATTACCTTTATGCTGGGTAATCTATGGATATTATGGGGAGAAGTTATGTGTTAATCACTTCTAGGAGTTAAAGGGTTAATTACATTACACTCAAGACCTCTTTAGGCAATTTGCATAGATCTCTGAACATATAAATACTTTATTTACAAAAGTTAGGTACAAAATTGATTTAGTGTAAGTCTCAGACAAATGTGCCTCATTCACTTCACATAATTATAATAATAATTCATAATTAATTAGAACAGCATACAGACCATCACGTGAATGTATATATTTATATTCTCAACTCTCATTCCACTAAAGAACCATTTAAAATCTTCATTTAACCCTTGAAATCCCAATTGACATGAATAGCTAACTTCTCATGAGGAGAACCCTGAGTTCTTAAGCTGGCAAGTGCTGAGAATAAAAAAATCATTGACGGCAATTTAATCGATACCTTGTTGAATTCTCATAACTAACATGCCACAAATGCTTACAATGGGCTGGGAGAATTTATATTTTCATCTTGGGACTGCAAGGGTTAAAGCTGATGTTGTATAAAGTGGTTGATGCATGTCTTAGCCTTTCATTTTTATTTATTTTTTGGACAGGAAACACCATAAAATGTATTCAAATCCCAGCTTACTCTTCAAAAAATATGGTAACATTGCAAAAAAAAAAAACAAACAAACAAACATTTGTGAACACTGTTTTGGATTTTTAGTGTTTGCTCTCGTCAAGCTTGTACCAGACAAACTTGACATTTCTAAGAGATAAAAACAGTTTGCATCAAATACCAACTCTACAGAGTACAATCATGTACATAAAGAAAGGCGGCCATGTAACCTTTCCATAGGGATTTTCTATAAAATAGTCTATCAGATTTACCTGATATCTTGTAGGATATTTTGCTAAGTAACACAGTGAGTATCTTAATAACAGAGAGAAAATAAGGGGTATTGATCAGTATTTGAGCAACAGCATGCCTTGCCCTACCCTTACCCAACAACAGTCAACTGATGATAAGTGTGGGTTAATGTTAGGTTAGGGAAGGGTAAGTGTACTGCTGCTCAGATACTGACACCCAATATTTTTACATAGAATGCAATATCAAAGGCACCAGTGGTGAGAATTTAGAAGTTGTCACCATAAGCTATTTGAATTCTTCACAATTGCAAGTACATGACAAGTACAAAGTTTTTGAACTTGAATTCAAGTTATCTTCCATGCTATTTTACTCCTGAGATTAAACTCTCCAGATCTTCCCTAAACCAGAGGATTTTTACGTATGAGGAAACCTCTCGTGTTTAAGGATGATTTGTTAGCATTATAACCTACACAACTTCTCATTTCCTCACAAAATATAGTTTTGCTTTATAACTTTTTCTACTGTCCATGTACAAATTCACAGTATATAAAATGCAGATCTGGAAATTTTGAACTAAAATAAATTAATCTCCTGACTACAAATAGCAAGCATCACCAAGATAAAGGAATGTTTTCATTACAGTCGAAACAGATATAGATTGCTTGGTAATCACTGATGTTTTTTTAGGCGCACTCTGATTGGCTTCTCAAACTCTGAATATCCCTAGCTATTCACCTCTGAGCACCTTGTCCAGGGTTTGCACCAAAAAATATTATAATTGCTGCAGGAATAAATGAGTTAAAATCATCTTTTTTTGTGATGTTATCTCTCTATTTGGTATGTACTAAAACAACTGTTGGCCACTAGCACTGGATATTTACCTCACCACTTTGTGACTCAGTAAGTATCCACCACCAGCCACCTCCACTTCAGTAAATGGCTGTTCATGAATTGAAAATAAACGGACTTTGTAGCAAAAGTGAAGTTTACTTGGCTTAGGACAGCTAGTGCGTTTCCTTGACTAGGAAAAAAACCCCAAAAATAATTTTGAAAACCAAGAGACACAAAAATAAAGTCAGATTGCTGAACAGAAATTCCAGAAGAATGAAAGGAAAAAGTAGCTGCAACAAACAATGCAATGACAATTAGGGCAAGCTTTAAGATCTTACAGTTCACAGAGATGTGCAACTAAACTTTTCACCCCCCACTAATGATTAATTCATACTAATAATTTACTGGTAGCAGTTGTCTTCATGGTCTAGCACAGTGAAGAATCAAACCACTGCATTTTTTAGTGTACTAAGATTGCTCAGTATCATCAACATTACTATGGTTAAAAACGGCTTTGGAAAGAGGTGTAAATAATTATGCATTTTTAGAGACTACATCGTCAAACCAAGTTCATTTAAGTTTGAAAGGTTGTTACCAGAAATTACCTTGACTTAGTGTTTCTTAATGAATTTGAATTTAACCCTACCTAGCTGACAATGTAATGTAATAAACTCTTTAAATAACACATTTCCCAGAGAAACATACTATGTTACAACACTTGACTTTATAAATATCATTTTTTGGCACTCTGGAATGTATGCTTTGTTTCTTTTCATTAAACCACAACTAATTTTTGCAAAAACTGATAGAATCTTCTGAGAAAAGATCACAGGGTTATACCAATGACCACAGAATTCCAAAAACTACTCAGTTCTTCAGTCACAACACAAAGAACACCTGGTAAAATAACCCGATTTTGTTTCAAGAACACCCTTAAAAAAATCCCAGGTTCTTGGGTACTGGACCCTTGCTGTAGCAGCTTGCAGCCAGATTATGAGGATAAACAACAAAGCATAGCAAACAGATGGAAAAATAAAAGAAAATGAGGAGGACTAAGAAGAGGGAGGGAAGGTCCTTGTCACTCCTCCTCAGACTCCCCTCAACTTTCTCTGACCTGATCATTTATTCATCTCCATTCAAAGCCTGGTATGGGCTGAGGCTGCAGTAGCAAACAAGAAGGTAATGCACTTACCAATAGAAGTTATTAATTTATGACCCTTTCACATTCATTTCTTTCAAGTTTCAAGATAATATAATATAAATTAACTTATCACACAACATTTGACTGTGGTTTCTGGCAAACCGCATGTTGCATATTTTGATGTGGTTCTGTTGTTGCAAACACTGTGTTTGGTGGACTCTTGAGTTGTTCTGTAACTTTAACAATGATGTTCTGACCTGTTAAGGGCTGTTGTGAGATAAATGACTGTGATGGTGGTGCAGGCGCTAAGCGAGGTTGTATAGGATGTTGTTTGATGAATTGCGAGTTGATATGTGGTTTTTGTTGCTGAAGATGCTGCTGCTGTTGTTGTTGTTGTTGCTGTTGTTGATGGTGTAATTTTTTCTGAAGTGTGATCTGTTGAAGTTGTTGTTGTTGGTGTTGTTGTTGAACCTGTTGGGTAAGTTGTACAATTGGTTGTTGCGAACTTGTGATATTGTTATGATTGATGAAAACTTTGGTTTGGTTTCCTGTGGACTTGTAACAACCACGTTTTTTTTTGTTGCTGTGCTGGGATTGGCTGTTGAGATGGAGGTGACTGCACAACTTTTGCCTGTGATGAAGGAGATGGCGCTTTCTGGATTCCTTTATGTATAGATCCTGAGCGAGCATTTGCAACTTTACCTAAGAGAAACAAGTTGTTTAGACATGATAAATGTGACAACAGCCGTGCTTCAAAGGACAAATTGTCTTCTTTTTCAAGATAACAATAACATGTATACATGCACATACTTGTTCACTGGCCTAAACAAAGGTCATTCCATAACTTTATAATTCAGAATAAGAGCTGAAGTCTAGATACAGAATTTTTTCTTTATTTTTCTTTTGAGAAAACACTGTCATACAAGTTGTTTATTTGTTTATTTGGACCCAATTCATTGACCAGCTCCCAGTTGGCTTGTTAGCTCAATTGGTAGAGCGCTGCACCGGTATCGCAGAGGTCATGGGTTCAAATCCCATACGGGCCTGAAATTTTTTTCAGGTCCTATTTACAACTACTTGTTTCAGTAGTGTTTTTAGCTGCGAGGATCTCCTAATTTCATCTTTCCACCGCAGTGCAAATATGTGAATTTTCATATATCTAAAATCTTCATTCACTTGGATGTTTATTTGGACCCAATTCATTGACCAGCTCCCAGTTGGCTTGTTAGCTCAATTGGTAGAGCGCTGCACCGGTATCGCAGAGGTCATGGGTTCAAATCCCGTATGGGCCTGAAATTTTTTTCAGGTCCTATTTACAACTACTCGTTTCAGTAGTGTTCTTAGCTGCGAGGATCTCCTAATTTCAACTCTCATACAGTTGTTTATAGTTGAAATAGTGTGAATATGAAAGCAATCTTCGTAGTAATGAACACTACTTAAAATAAGTAGTAGTGAAAAGAAGGCCTGAAAAAAATTCAGGCCTGTATGGGATTTGAACCCATGACCTCTGAGATACCAGTGCAGTGCTCTACCAACTGAGCTAACGAGCCAACTGGGAGCTGGTCAATGTGTTGGTTCCAAATAAACTTGTGACGTGGTGAATAAACAGTTGTAAATATATGGAAGTCATAAATAGTGTTGTGGCACTTACTGATTTTTTTTTTTACCACCATAGCATTTCTTGTTTTTGTGCTTTTTTTGGGGGTAGTACTGAACCTTTAACTCCCATAATTTACCAAGACAGAATTTCTCCTTGCAATCTCAATACAATATCAAGTAGAAAATGGGGAAAATAGAAGTAATATCAATGAGGAGATTGTTACTTGATCCCATACCAAATTCCCCAAACTAACATCATCATTATGGCAGACGGTAAGGAGAATTACTAGTGAGATCTTGGGAGTGAGAGAGTCACGAAAGGAAGCTCTATTAGAAGTACTTAGAGTAAGCTATAAGGACTTACCTCTCTGATGCATATTTGGACTCATCGGTGAAGATGGCTGCACAATAAACTGTGACTGATGCATGGATCCCATGTTATTAAATATCAGATTTTTTCCTTTGTTTATATTCGCAGGTGTTGCAGTTACTCCTGTGACTGATGTAGATGTTCCCTGAGTTGCAGAATTACCCTTAATGACAAAATTCAAGGGGTAGCCTTTGACTGTTCCACCAGGAGGTGGTGGGGAGAGACCTGTGCCATTAGGCATGGAAGTAACTTGCACAGCACCCGAACCCTGAAAGAATTTGTTAAAAGATATGTTAACAAATACAATGTAAGAAATAAGATGTACTAGCATCTGGTATGACAAGAGCAGCAATACTATGGACATGCTGACAAAGAAGGAAAGCCAGATGGCTTTATAACATGTGACAAAGACAGTGTGAATCAAGGTCCACAGGTCATGACCTCTAATCAAATACTTTCCTGTCTAACCCAACCTAAGTCAAAAAGCATTTCACTTTGTGAGAAATACTCTTTTACTTTCTTCCTGTATTCTTGCATTTCTTAAATTGTGGCAATGTATGCTTGGCTGTGTAGCTTCTTCTGACCCAGCATATGGCAATGCCTATTGCCCTTATACAGGGATTTCCTATGTTGTTTTTACAGTCAATCTGTAATGTGCATTGGAAAAGAAATATTTCCAACAAAAATTAAAGTTCTTTGTTGTTAAAGAATAATCGATATGCCAATTGATAGATGTCAGTATCCAGCTGGTTTATCAAGTGACTGCCAAACCTCTCTGGTGACTAGACACTTGAAAGAAGTGATAACTCACTCCTGGGACTTAAAGGGTCAACCAACTTGCTGTGTGTGTTTTTGTTCATCCTGACTATAATGACACTAACCTGTTTAAAGAACACTGGGCTGACACTCTGACCAGCAGAGCTTGATGTCACTTGCCCTGTGTAATAACAAAATCTGTCAGTAACCAAATATCTCTCCTCAAAGCTGCCATGATTAACTATTCCAAAAGTACAGTTCATTTTTATTTTTTGCTGAATTGAATTTGGAAAAAAAAAAAAATAGTACACAACAGCTCTCAATTTTCTTCTGGTTTTTCATCCCAGGTATGATTACATTCCATTGAAAATTGTAAATCTACTTTTTCCTCAAAACTGCTATCATAATTTTGTAAGACATCTGGGATACTTCAGCTTGATTCACAGGCTACTTGTAAATGCTGTAACTGTATGATAGCTATGAAGTACTGTTCATACCAATTGAGGGATCCACTTGTGCTGTGATCTAAAAAAAAACAGAGGCAATCCATGAAATAATTTTTTAATATCACAAAAAAAAAAAAAAAACAGAGATGAGCATTTTAACTCTTTAACTCCCAAGATCTGATTGCTCATTCTCCCCTTTAGCTGCTACACATTTCTTGTAAATTAGTTATAACTTCCACCTGATAAATTTTAGTATTCTCACCACCTTTTAGTTGAATAACATTTTGATATCATAGAGAGAAATTACATGTTAATCACCCCTGGGAACTAAATGGTAAAATTACTTCTTGGCATGGCAATCTTATTCTCTCTAGTAAAGGCACCGAATATCACACAGTTTTCTGCAGTGAATGGAAAATGCTTATTCTTGAGTTTGCCCAAAAACTTATTCTATCAATATTTTCAAACTCCTTTTTTATAACCCTTTACACCCCAACATCAGTATGCAGATTCTCTATAATTCTCTCTACACATTTCCAAAGGTGCTAACAAGGAAAATATTTCCAACAATCAAGAGCATCCTTTGTTGGCAATCATTTCCTTTATTCCCAGGACCTTAAATTGTGATTCAGCGGGTGATGTCATAAGGAGAAGTTACAGTCGATACTAGTCACTCTTAGGAGCCAAAGGGTTTACCAGCCAATCAGATACAAGAAAACACCAGCAGGAACTATAAAAAAATTGATGAAGCTCTTCCAAATTAGTGTCTTTTTTTGAAATCACACAAACAATCCGATAAGTGCTCTCAGTTTGCTTATTTGAGACACAGTTTACCTTTTAACTCCCAGAAGTGATTAACATGTTACTTCTCCTTACAATGCCCATACATAATCAAGCAAACAAGTAATGAGAGTAAATTATTCTAACTTCAGGAAGAAGTTGCTATCTTGATCAAACACCAAATTCTTATAAGTTAGTTACAAGGGGATGGGTTGCAGGTCAAGGGAAGAATTTACAATCAGATCTTAAGAGTTAAAAGGTTAATACTCATCCTAAGTAAACTACAAACAAAAACTTTACATTGCCATAACAGTTACATCTTAAAAATTACTTTAATACCCACCCTGCTTTGAGAATTTAAGTAGAAAGAGAAAAACATGTTTATTACCGCTTTATACAAAGGCGATGATGTTGATGTCGAAGACACTGTACCAACTGCAACCTTCCCTCCCACCAGGGGGGCTGGCAAAATTTCTTTCACATTTGTCAACCCAGGCTGTAGTGGACCAGTCACCGTATTTATGCCAGACAACTGAGCTCCACTAGCTGCAGACATTATGGATAGACCATTACTTGTAACAAAAGTAGTCTGTGTTGTTGAAATAGATCCCTGTGCAGCACCTGAATTTATCCCAAGTGCTGAGCACAGATTTAAACTCGAGTCTGGCTTTACATTACCACTGACGCTTAAACTTGGTCCTGGGACTACTGATGATTTTGTAACCACCACTCCAAGTGGGTGTCCAAGACTAAGGGGGTGTCCACCTGACACATTAGTCTCAATGCTTGCGACAATGTTTCCCATATCACTGATCGCTTGGCTACTAGCATCAGGTTTGATGTATGTGGTTGATGCCAAGCTATTCGAATTCGCTGAACCAATAGAGTCTAAATAGGGTCTCTTGCTTTGCAATGTAGATCCTTGGAATACAGAACTTCTTGAGGAATTTAAACCATTCTCCATATGATTGACTGCTTGTCCTGAATTACCTTGTTTGAATGATTTATTTCTAGGAAAGGGTGGAGCTTTGAGAAAATTGTTCATTGATTTGTTGGAGTGGCTTTTATACCTCTCTGGAACTGAAGAGAAACCTATAAAGGTGATCAAAATTTTACCATGAGTGCTCCTTAGTACAAACCGTTTCTGAGAAAAAAATTATATCAATTACAATTACATGATAACTCTCTGTCTACAGCTCTCTTTTTAAAAATCCCAGCCTGTACCAATTACTGAAAATATGAAGATAATCCTTGCGTCATTGATATTGAATGACAAGGTCATCAATGCTATTATTACATCAAAGAAAACCTCCATTATAGTCAAATAATAATAACAAATGTTGAACACTACTTCTACCACTAATAATGATGATAATGACAATAATGATAATGATAATAATAATTAGCATATAACACCCAGTCCCAATCCACTGATTGGCTAGTTCGAAAGTGAATAACAAGTACCATTCACCTCTAAGCAAGTGACAAGACAAAACTGCAAGTCAAGAGTTTAATTTCTGACCATTTTCAGTGTATTGAAAGAAATAAACTCATTTTTCTGGTGTCTGTGTGGTATATACTTACACAATTATTCCCCTCAGTGTTAGTGAAAGTGATGGATATTTACCTCCACTTTGGTGATCAATTGTTAATTGTAATAAGAACTAGAGAAGACCATTCTCACATCATGCAGTAATTGTAAAGCTTAATAATACTTGCACTTCTTTAGCAGCCTTGTTACCTTGATTTGATGACTGTCCCACAGTTTTCATAGTTGGTCTTTGGAGAATAGCAGCACTTGCTCTGTTAGATTTTTGCCTGTGTAACATGAAAAAAAATAAGTCCGTGAAAAAATAGAAACTTCTGAGATGTGGCAGATTTAATAAGAGGATAGGGGTAAGTACCCTATATGTAACTTAAAAAACCTAAAAGCAAACCCCACAAACTCAATTTGCATTTGTACTCTACCTTGGCAATGAAGGATTTAGATATCTCTCTACCATGGAAAGAACAGCACATCGAAGATGGTCACTTCTGCGATTAAAGACGTACCCTCCTTTCCCTACTGCTCTTGTGCCAAAGCGACAAGACTGTAACAAAGTGAAGTAGGTTAATTTAGGAAGACAAGTTGTAGAGGGAGAAGCTTGACACTAGTTGGGGAGACAAAGGTGTGTTTCTGTCTATCAAAATAGTTACTTTGCACAATTGTAGGTTGCCAGTTGTTAGTTGGTAGTGCATTAAGTCAAACCTTTAGCTAAAAGTCAGTCAGTTGATTTTTTAGAGCAGTTAGTAAACAGTTAGTGGGTAAATCAGTCCTCCATTTTCAGGTCATTAGAGTCAATTAATCTGTGAGTCAGTCAAGTGAGTCCATCAAATCAGTTAGTGATTCACATAGTCAGTCACTCATTCACTCAATAAATTTAACACATAAGTCAGTCAGTCAGTCAGTCAACAGGTGAGTCAGACAGTGAGTCTATCATTCTGTCAGCCAGTAGATCAAGCAGTCATTCAGCCAATAAGTTAGTAAAGCCAATCAGTCAGTCAGTCTGTCAATTCAACAAATAAGTCAGTCAGTCTGCGAAAGGGGAGGGGAGTGTCAGTCAGTCAGTGTATCATTCTGTGAGTCAATAAGTCAAGCAGTAACTCAGCCAGTAAGTTAGCAAAGTCAATTAGTCAGTTGGTCAGATAGTCAGTCCTGACTGTTACCTCATGAAAGGCAGTAAAAATCAGTTGATCAAGTTTCCAATCAGTCAGTTGGTAACTCTAACATTCAGTTATTATAACTACAGTTATAAGAGTGAAAAGTGTCATTCCAAGCACCTAAACAGATTGATGTGACTGTGCTTACCGCCATAGGTTTAGGATGACAACTAAGGGTTGTCAAACCAGATGATTTTGTGTTGCTATCACTATTTTCAGTGCTGCCATCAGAAGAACCTTTCACAACTTTATTCACAAGGTTGTTTTCATCTGAAATATTGTTATCAAAAGAAGTTTGATAGATACATAATGTTAATACTGCTTGCCAAAGTCCAGATGCAGTCTTAACTCCTTTAACCCTTTAACCCCCATGAATGACCAAGACAGAATTTCTCCTTACAATATCAATACAATATCAACTAGATAAGTGACAAGAATAAAGAAAAACATCAATTTGGGGATAATTAGTCGATCCAATACTAAATTCGCTGAACTAACATTATAAGAATTGTATGGTTGACAGTAAGGAGAATTACAAATTTAATCTGCGAGTTAAAGGGTTAAAGCACAGATCAAAGATTTGAGCTGTTCTTTCAAAACAAGTGGCAAAACAAGTCCATCTATACCATAAACAATATCTTCTAAGCATCAAATTTGATTTTTTGTGCTAAAACTACTATCAACATTAATATGTTAAATGCTAAAAATGTGAAAAAGACAAAATCAAAACCTACCTTCTACAGAGAGAGACCTTCCAATGTGCGTTTTAGTACTAAAAGAAAAAAAAAAATCAATACTTAAGTGATGTTCTTACCAGAGGACTGTGGCAAAACTACTTGTGGTATGTGTCTCAAAAAGAAATGTCACAAACCTTGAGCTTGCAGATGAAGTAACAGATGAGTCAGAGGTACTTGATGCTCTTTTTAGAGTAGCATCCAGTGTCTTCTGATTTGCCGCCTGCTCTTGCAGCTTAAGAGCCTGATTCTGTTGTTGTTCCTTTTCACAATTTACTCGTGCTTTATGCTCAGCCAGAAGTTCATCAAAAGGTTTCCGTCGTCCAGGAACTGCACGTCTCAGTGACAAGGCATGTGTCTGAAATGAGTATATCTTAAGAGTTACCTAATGGTGATTTCATGGTTTGGTAGTGAACGGTAAACTAGGATCAGTGACAGCATACTCTATCAGCACTGACCCATCTTCAGCTACAATTACAAATCCCATATCTTATGGCAGATCTTGACAAAACATTCCAAAGATGTGTTTATATCAGACAACATACCATGAAATACACAATTTCCCACTTTTCATTACCCCTCAGCTAAAAAGCATATTTAATATAAACACTGATTACTGCCAGGAATGAGAGGTTGCATTGACTATGCTTGACCAAGCTTTGTACATAAACACACTTGTATTTATTGTATTTCAGGGAAAATAAATAACCTGTGTTTTACTTCACCTTTGATACACAAGGAGGGGATGGTAGATTACAAACTTTGTAATTATTAATAAAACTAACAAATGCAAAAATACGTGAATTTTTTTTTACCTTGCAAGTTAGTGAACGAGTACATCTCTTCTGGTGTTCAGCTACCCAAACTCCACAATGCTTGTCAGCATCAAACTCTCGTTCTACAAAACATTATAGATACAAAGAGTCAACAATGAACTCAAATAGTTTACACTGGTCACAAAGCATCTTCACTCTAAATAAGATTTAAAAGGGACCAGCAAATCAAGACTTAAGAAAGAATCTTAATAGGTTGGAGGTACAGTGTACAGAGTAAAATTCTACTTTTAAGTGATAATTTCCTTTCCTCCGTGCCACAGACCAGTGTTTCAGTAATAAATTATAATAATCATAAAAGTATCATTTGGCCAAGTCAGGGGTTTTGCAATCAGTTGTGAATGGGCAGTGCCAATCAACAAGAAAAGTTATCTTGTTCAGACTAAACCATAACTGAGAGAAAACTTCAAACTTTACTTCAATGATGCTCTCCATTTAAGTTGTCAAAACACGAGTCACAGTCACAAATGATTATCTTGTGTGGACTCTGCTCACCTACAGAATCTGCTTTACGACTAAAAGTTACTTCCTGGCTCAAATCATTTGAGTAGTTTAATTAATATACATGTAACTGGTAGTTACATCTATATTCTAGAGAAAAATGGTTTCTAACTATCAGCAATTGGGTTCTGTTTTCATTTTTGTTCCAGATATATAACCATAATCCTTTCACAATAAAAACAAAAATCAAATTACAACGAGTAGCCCAAGTCTTGGCACATTCTACTACTCGATTTTTTGTTTTAACTTTCATTTATCTCTCCTATTTCAATTTTGCCTGGTTTTATCAAAATGGTGGACAGTGATTAACTTAACCCTTTAACTCCCAGAAGTGATTAACATGTAACTTCTCCCAATAGTTTCCATACATTATCCAGCAATCAGGTAGTGAGATTAACCTAACTTATCAGGTACAAGATATTATCTTGATTGAACACCAAATTCTCATAACCAATTTACAAGGAAATTTGTAGCAGCTGGAGGGGAGATTTAACAGTCAGATCTTGGGAGTTAAGGGTTAAGGGGGGAGAGTGGACTTTCAAGTTACTTATTAGTGATTAATTGCAAGATTTCTGTTTATTATATTGAATGAGTGATAGTAGACCACCTACTACAGAGAAGAGTGCCAACTACTTTTATCACTTATTGTGATTCAAATCCATTTCACCTTGGACTGTAACACAGATGGCACCATAATTCCATACTGGAACTTACCTCTTGTAGGAACCTGTTTCCTGGGAGATTTTTTATTGCTAGTAACTTTTTCATTTGGACTTCTCTTCACTATTACATTATTCAGAGCTTCTGTCTTAACAGCAGTGGAAGAGAAGCCATGATTTAGACATGGAACAGTCAAAGGCATTTCTTCTATCTTCACTGTGACATCCATTAGTTCAATCTTTTGGTTAGTAATGACTGAGTCATGAGGTTTTCCTTTTCTAGATCCTGTCTGTAAAATTGTCTCCACCATTGAGCTTGACGTTGTCACCAAGTCAGGGGAGGATGGGGTGGGAACAGGAATAACTTTCTGATGGTGTAGCTCTGTAAGAATGGAAGAGTAAAATAGTAATTTATCATGATAAGTCATAACTTCTTAAAATATTTCTTGAGGCCTTTGTTGTTATATGGCCAGCATTGTAATAGCCCATTTCTGAATTACCTTTGGCCTTGTTTGAAAAGCAAGTCCTAGTGCTCATCCTTTCATGTAATTAAAAGTTTTCATTCACATACAAATCATACTCATCTTCATAGGAATGGTTGAGCACCAGGCCTCGTTTTGAAAAAGAGGCCTAAAGTAATTTGGAAATGGCCTATTGATTTATTGCAGTGTAAAAGAGGGACAATTCATTTGTAGAATGAAAAAATGCTACAATCTACTACTTTCCAAGACACCAGCACCAGTGTTTGAAAATCCAAGACTGAAAAATTAAGTTTTCTGACACTAACAATAATAGCTCTAACCTACACTGGCCATCCTCTGATCTTAGATCTTTAGAAAATAGGAACAAATCAACAAAATGTAGAACTCAAGAGACCACATGATCAAGGGTAACTAGATTTCAAGATCAGTTAACAACACCAACGTTTTTTTAAACCCTTCAACTCCTATGAGTGACCAAGACAGAATTTCTCCTTACAGCATCAAGGCAATATCAAGCAAAGAAGTGATGAGAATAAAGAAAAATATCAATTAGGGGACTACAAGTTGATCCAATATCAAATTCTCCAAACTAACATCACAAGAACTGTATGGCAGACAGTAAGGAGAATCACTAATGTGATCTTGAGAGTTAAAGGATTCAGGTACTATTTTCTGTCCCTTAAAATCAAACCCAAGGTTAACATGGTTGGATTTGGGTTAAATTTCCAACATCAAAAGACTGAAATAAGACAACAAATCCAGCCTTCTTGACAAACAAGCTAGTTGAATAAAAGATACAATATAAAGCAAAAATATAACATTAAAGAACCTGTGTCAGTTTCAAAGAAAACGGATGCAACTCAATATATTTTTTCTTCGTTTAGATTTTGTTTCAGTACATGCCTGTGGTATTTCCCTTCAACACTGAAGCAGCAAAAACCAGTAAGATTATCAAAAATCATGTTTCTTCACAAAACGTTCTGAACTAGGCAAGCTGGCTTCAAGCAACTTACACCCTCTTCCCCACTTGCGTAGCCAATCAGAAAAGAGTAATGATAAATAATAATGGAAGATACTTCTAGTTTGCCTATATTACTTAATGGTGCTATGCATAATTAACAGGATCTTAAAGAATTTTTATCTCATTACAATTACAAAGGTCTGAATAATTCCACACATGTTTCAAATGGTATTTGTTGAAGTTTTGAAAGATTTTCTGGCCGAAAAGGTTTCAAACTAGTTAAATTTGATTTTCTGTCTGTTCCAAAGACATTATCAAATGGCAAGGATTACAAAGAAAACATACACCTAGTTTGAAATCACTTAACCCTGATATCTTCATTAACCACAACACTTACAACTGATAAAGGACCAGATTTTCTATTAAATCAAAATCATGCAGCAAAGAAATACAAGTAAAATTGCTCAGTTATGAAAAAGTTAAAAAAATAGCTTTCTTTAGTCCTGTTCTCAAACAAAAGGTATGACTTAGAAACAAGGAAAGTTATAACTAGATTAAGATTGATAGCTGTCTGTTAAATAATAATTGAGGACTCATCCCTCAAGAAATCTAGCTGATAAACCCTATATAATGGTCTTACACCCCATTGATAATATTTACCTCACAATTACACACAAAAAAGAAAGTTCCCTAGTATGTTTGGGTAACTCAACACAATAATTTCCAGTTTGAATATATCAATGGTCACAATAGTTATTACTAAGGAAATTAAAACAATAAATTAAGTATGGCAAGGATATACTCAATTAATTTATAACAATGTGGGTAACAATTAGGAATCATAAACACTGTGGAAAGCTTTGTCTGCCATGAGTGTCATTACAGAAATTTCTTTCCCGTAGACTCAAAACAAAAGCTGACAAAGTCTTCCATTAAATGATATCCCTGGTTATTGGCCGACTCAATGGTATATGAATTGGGTATCAACTATATGGTGAAACAATTTTTTCATGTTTCAGAAGGTGCAGTGATACGGATTTTGCTAAGAAATAGCAAAAGGGAAGAGTAGACAACTTTCTAGGTCTGAATTTAAAATATTTATAGCTAAAAATTTAAACCAGAAATTCTGCATTATAGGTGGAGAATTCTGTCAAGGTTCAATTTCCCAATGACAACCTTGCAGTGAATTCTCCCTTGAATTTATCATGGGTCACACAAGATATGGCCAGGAAAATTAAAACAATATAATTAGCACAGAGAATAATTTCAAAATTAAAGCTTATATAGATTCAATTTCAAAAACAACATCACACTCCATTTTTTTGTATATGAAGTGGAGTAAAAAACTATTTATAAACGGTCAAGTTTCAGTTTGATGGAAAACGTTACCAGAATATGGAATCAACCTAGCGTTTATAATGGTTTACTCATTGGAACTGCCAGATGTTATGACATTTGTAGAGCTTTTGTCACTTAAGCTCGATAAAGGTGTAATATTATTATGAATGCACTAACCACAATGCCGTAAAAATGCCGGCGCTTTCACAACCCTGCCACACTCTTTGCAAACGACAAGGACAATTTCCTCTTGCTCTGGGCAAATCCCGAAAAGGGTCATATCTAGGATCAAAGCATAAAAGCATATAAAAAAGTTAATCATGTACCGCTTACATTATTAATAAACGCGTAAGCCACTCCAAAAAATTAAAGCACGTTTGATTTGGCGCTGTTTGTTTAGAGAAAACCCAAGTATTCACTTCCTCCATTGTTGAAGTTTCAGATGAACAGCTAACTCTATTTAAGACAGCGCTCTTTTAAGGGGTGCACGCATGCAGTTAGCACGACATGTCTCATGCTAATTAAGCTAACTTTCAACCTGTGCATAACAGTTCGCTTATAGTAATTTTTGCCCAGGGCGGAACAAACTACTTGGTATTTTGTGCAACAATATCTGATTTTTCTGAGTAAATATAGCCTTTAAAAGTCACGCTACCTACCTTCTTGGTGCAATCGCGTGGCTTCTGGAGAGCCCAAACCATTGTTTTCGTCCACTTCCATTGCTATCGTGGAAAAATTATACACGGTAAATCCCCTAAAAAAAGTTTCCTTTGCGTTTACAGAGTCAAATGAGGATACAGATCGACGGCATGATAGCTACACCTACCTTCGGTTTCGTCCAAAGGCGAATTTTCTTCGAAGGAACTCCATGAGCTCCCAGAAAGTAAAGAATGACAGTGAATTTTCGCCATTACAACCTCATTCCCGCTCCGATGTTGCTTTCTACCAATTCCGTGACGTCACTGTCGGAATGAAACGTAAGGTCTCGGAGAATACCGACGGTTTCCGACCTGAAAATGTCAAGTGCATAAGATGTGATAAATCTCAAATTGTACCACTTTTCGACAAGTGACTGGTATGCTTGAGGCTTAAATATACTATATTTTGCAATCCCTACCCATACAATTGAAAAATGTTGCAATCTACGGGGAAAATAACTCTCCAGTGCTGTGGAGTGGCAAAAGAAAAACACGAATTGTTCGTACTGACGGCCATTTTCCACTTCCTCTTAGCAAACTAAAAACAATTTAGATAGCTACTATATTACCTTATATACCTTGAAATAAATACTATCGTGTTCTTCCGATCGAACTCATTACACAAATTAGGCGTCACTGTTGTGAATCATGTAAATTTGTCTTGACAAATTGATTCCGCCATTTTGTCCAACCACGGAAGGGCGCTGTGGGCGTCTAAAATATCAGCGGTATACCAATGGATCTTATGCTCAGCGAGGGAAAGTTTGAAAAATGGCGGACGAAATTGTGTTGAGCTTCCATGACAGTCTTCTAAAAAAATCGGACCTTAGCTTGTTCGAGGAAGGTCGTTGGCTGAACGATAGACTGATAGGATTCGTATTTGAGTGAGTTTTTTGTAGTTGTGGGAAATCTGATCGCAGATGCAGCGTACATTTTCGCTTGCGTAGCGTCAACATGCAATCTACAAGGTTGCATTTTATCGGGGGAGAAGTTTTCACTTTGAACTAACTCCAGAAAACTTGTTTGATTGCAGTTACTTTACTCATAACAAATTTAAACAGATATCAGATATTGCGATCTTTATCAGTCCTGATGTCACGCAGTTCTTGAAGCTTGGAGGAGGTAAGACATACGTCTTGCTAACTTCGTTTTCCAGATCCGTAACGTAAAGTTACATGGCGAGTTTTTTCCACCTGAATTTATGGTCTAAGCGCGAAGCGGGCGGGAAAAACGAGGTTCAATAAGTTACGATACAGACCGAGAAAACGGAGTCAGTGAGATACTTTTATTATATCTCTGGGTTCAATTAGAGGGGTAAGATTTCAATTCAAACGATTTTTTGAATTAGCGGGCCGCACACTAAAATGCGGCACGCTAAATTGACCAATCACGGTACGTGTACGAACTGAGAGATATAACGAATGATTGAAGAAGTGGGATCGTAATGCAGCTACATGTAGAGTGTTTAGTTTTGAAATTTTTTTGCATCAGTCTTAAGGTTGTATCTTTGTCATAGATCTATGTTGAAATATCCTTGTGATGAGGGAATACAGCATTTATGTTATTGATTATTGTTTTTTTTTTTTTGCTGCAGGCCTTGAAATTGGTATTTTTCTGGAACCACTTGATCTTTCAAGTCGAAAGCTGATATTTTTTGCCGTGAATGACAATGATTCCAGACATTCAGCAGGGGGATCTCACTGGTATACAATAAGCATCCTTTAATAAATGTGTTTCCTCAGCTGAAACAGTTTATTGATCAAAAACTAGTTTTGAATTTTGTTGTATCTCGGAGAGCCATTGAACTAGCTTTTGAGCTGAATTTGACTCTCCTTACTATCTACCATACAACTCTTATGATGTCAGCTCTGAGAGTTTGGTAATGGATCAACTTATAATCCCCAAATTGATATTTTCTCTATTCTCATGACTATACTACTTGATATTGTATCAATATTGTTAGGAGAAATTCTTCTTTGGTCATTTGTGAGAGTTAAAGGGTGAAGAAAATAGTTATTCAATCAAAATAAAATCAAGCTTTTTACAAAAGACTGTTGCAGGTTGAGAGTAACTGATGATGAAAAAAACAACAAGGTGGTATTCAATAGCTCAAGGTTAAAGCCGGCACCTTGGAATGTGTAGTATATTATTGCATCATAAGAAATCCTCACATTGTAGTAGCGTAGTATCATTTTTCAAATAGTCCTTTGTCACATTCCAAATTGTTTTACCTCAGTCTAATACTTATGTCTAAGTTATAAAAAGTAGTGTAGGAATCTATAATCAATCACAAAATTGTTGATGCATTGACCTTTTCAACCACCCATTACTTCAATCTTATCTCTTTTGCCCTTGTTAAGTTAACCTATTTGCTGCGTCCCCCCCCCCCAGAAAAAACAATGTTGTTTCAACTTTTAACTACATACAGGCAACATTGAAGGGGGGGGGGATCCAGTCAAAGATTTAGAGCATGGAAGGAACAGGAGTGTTATTCAAGATATAAATAGAACTCTCCAAACATGATGTGTCAACTAATTTTGGCACCGGTTGCAGGAGCCTAGATTAAATTTCTTTATATAGAGTTTGATATAAACAGCTTATGTATTTGATGAGTGTCTAATTAACAAATAAATTCCAAGTTGCCGTGTGTCTGTTCAGTAATAGATCACAGATGTCAAAATGTGGTAAAAACAAAAAAGTGGCACATGAGGTGCAGCCGAGTGTGTCTCTGATGTTCTTACCACATTTTGACGTCCTCTGTGATCTATTGCTGAACAGACGCACAGCAACTTGGAATCTATTTGTTTTATATAATAAACAATTTAAAAAAAGTTTTAATGATGATGTCATCTATATATCTGTCCTCCAATAGATCATAAGTGAGAACCAATCAGAATGCTTGCATAACTGAGCTTATTATATAATGTTTGATTATTAATCTAATGCTTCTATTGACAACTAGAAACTTGTGTGTTTACCAGGAGCTTGCTGGCATACTACCGAGAAACAAACAGTTTTCATCATTATGACTCATCCAGTTCATTTAATACTTCAGCTGCTAGATCTCTCGCACAAAATGTGGAACCTTTTTTACACTGTAGATGTAAGTGTTATTTTGATCACTTTAGACTTCACACAACTCTCTGTCATAGACTTTCTCCTCCCACTTATGCACAGTGTTTTTCTGTTTGTTTTTTTAAACAGCAGGACAAAACCCAAGCTTCAAGGAGGACAGATGCCCTCAACAACAAAATGGTTGTGTTTTGATGTAACACCATTTTTCATTTAGCCTCTGAACAATTAAGAGTTTTAACTAGTAATGACCTCAATACCGGTTAACCCTTTAACTCCCATAGTGACCAAGACATAATTTCTCCTTACAATATCAATACAATATCAACAAGATAAGTGATGAGAATAAAGAAAAATATCAGTTTGGGGATAATTAGTTGATTTAATACTAAATTCTCTGAACTAACATTACAAGAATTGTCTGGTTGAAAGTGAGGAGAATGACAAATTTGATCTGAGAGTTAAAGGGTTAATTGAACTCTCCCCATGATGCAAAGGCATGTCAAACCTTCACTTTTTTCCCAGGGGATAGTGCAAAAATTTTACATAACCTCTCTACAGGATGCTAATCTATTTCTATGCAGTTTGTCAAGAATCCCTGACAGTTTGTGGTACCCTTTATTTCTCATGAGCAGATTAGGTCACTGTTGAAGGGATAAGGTTTGGCTCAAAACTCAACATTATGACTTGGCCAGGGCTCGATCATGGAGTTCTCATTCCAAATTCTAGCTTGCTAATCTCTGAGCCATTGTGTTTCTCTCTGTTAACCCTTAACACCACAACATCAGTATGCATATTCTCCATACTGTTTTCTGACAGCAATAATTTGTGTAACAATCAATTGCTTTTTTAGTTGGTGGTCATTTCTTCAACCCTTTAAACCCCAAGAGTGACTAGCACCTAATTTCTCCCTACAATATCACTCCTGAATCACACATTGAAGTCATGAGAATAACAGAAATGATCACCAATGAAAGAAGCTTTTGATTGGTAGGCAAATTCTCCTTGTCAGCACCTTAGGAATTGTATAAAGAACAGTATGGAGAATATGCATACTGATGTTAGGGTGTAAAGGGTTAATTAATCCCTATGATCCTGTTTGAAATTAGCTCTGAGTCATCCTTAGGGTTTGAAAATTTCTAATGTGGCTTCATATTTCAACAGGTTATGACTGTGGTCTATATGTGGTTTTCATCACTGAACAACTCTGCACCAACTTTATGAACAATGTGAAAATATCTCTGAGTGATACCTTAACTCCAGAAGACATGAGGAAGAAAAGAAAAGCATTGAAGGAACTTGTGCTCAGTCTTGGAGAGAAGAAGACATGATGCTGAAATTTGCAGCAAGGAAATTTAGTGTAGCTTTCCAATGGAAGTATTTAGTTTCAAAGTGATGATAAAATACCACCCACAAAATGGAAATCACCTCTGAAAAAAGCAGAACATATAATTAATTATACACTCGTAAGATAGTGGAGGTCTTTCAGCAACACAAACTTTAGATTTCTCAAGATTCCTCCAAATGCAGTTTGCATCCTGTTGGCTTATTACCATATCTCAAATACATTTTGCTAGTAATTTTTCATGGGAATTTGAGATAGCAGGCATCTTGGGTTAGGCAAGGAGAGGTTAGTTAATCAGTTTTTAGGTGAAGGAGTGCTGTGATGACTCATAAAAACTCTGACCCTGTTTGGAACCAAGAACATGGAGAGAGACAAAAACAAATAAGTACCCTGTGTGGGACAAAGCCCTCTGTTTTTTAACCTTGTTTAGGTCAAGGGCAGAAAGTGTCTTTTAAGCATTCTAAATTTTAATTAGCAACAGTTGTAATGAATACCCACATAAATATGAATTGTAATTCATACTTCCTGAAATGTTTCTGGTCTGAACAAGCTCTACACTATCTATGACCAGTTCTTGTCAAAAGAAATATACCTCTTCTTCAACAGACAGGCATAGAATGCATACTTTGTTGAGCCCCTGACTCGTAACCCTTTCACTCTTAAGATCTCATTAGTAATTCACCTTACACTCTGCCATACAATTCTTATGATGTTGGTGGGGAGAATTTGGTATCAGGTCAACTGATAATCACCTAATTGATATTTTTCTTTCTCATCACGTGTCTGCTTGATATTGTAAGGAGAAATTCTGTCTTGATCACTCAGTATTTAAGTGTCAAGTAACTCTTGAAAGGATACCTCCTTTCTCAGGGTACTGCACTCTTTTCTTAGTTATCTCAGCAGGAGGTCTGTCAATTCTCCATAAGTTCTTTGTACAAAGTCTTTCACATGGAAGTTTACTTCCAAGAGTTTGGCATGAAGGCTCATTTTGATTTGATTTTCTGATTAAAAGCATGGTGCTGACAGATAGTTGGGTGGTTAGTTTTGTTGACAAAAAATATCCTGATGGGAAGTCAAATGCTATAAAATTTCTATGAGCAAGAATTCACATGTTCACTGAAACAAACTTTTTCAGCATACATTTGAAAATAACTTTTGTGGAATTGAGGTGTTGCAGCAAAGGCCTTTCTTCTGTTTTAAATATTGTTTTTGTGAATAATTTTCTCATGGAAATACCTCAGTCTTCTGTTAAAAATATATGTATTTAAAAAATCAAACAAACAAAGTACTCTACCATTTAGTGTGGACGGAATAAACTAAATTACGCGACTAACTAACAAATCGAGAGGGCTTGAGAACTAGAATGTATCCTGCTTTCGCACTCACTTCTTATTTCCGGTGACTCTTAGAGTCACGTGAATCGGTAGGAATGGCGTTCGTAGTTAGGTCTAGGTCTATTTAGGGAAATACAGTTTTTAACAATGTCAGAACTACTTTTTAAGGTGATCATAATAGGTGATGCTACCGTAGGAAAAACAAGCTTTGTCAAACGTTATGTAAATAACCATTCAGGACCAGGACGGGAGTATAAACCAACTGTAGGAGGTAGGTTTTCCCTGATCACGTCTACAATTTTTCTGGGAATTTTTTATTTTCTTAGACGAGCCGGATTTATTAATTGTCTGTCAAAAACCTCTATGATAGCTTTAAACTGAGATTGTCTTGACCTTCTTTGGTGCGCTAAAATAAGGACTTAAGTCGGTCAAAGTACAGCAAACATTTCTAAGTTGTACATTTGACATGTCTTGAATTGAAGAACAAAAAATTCCCTCACGAAACTTCTTTGAGGTATTGTGTGCATTTCGGTGGAGGGGTCATTTGGTCATTTCCTGTTATGCGTTAACTGGAGAGATGTTGAGTTTCCAGGCTATTAATAATAGAAAGAGTCCGAATTTTTCGAGTTGAGCTATTGATGTCATGGAAAACGTTTAGTTGGTGGTTGGGGTGGTCTCGCGATGATGGCACCACAATTTTTATTGGTACCAAGATGTTTCTGTATTTGTTTTTCTGTGTTTATAACCCATGATACACAGTGTTTAAATATACCATAAAAATGCAGTGTTCCTTGTCATGCGAAGTGGAAGGGGTACCTTTTTGGTCCTAAATAAAGTATCTCCACGGAGAACAAGCACTTATTACACACTTCCGAGTTAAATCTGTAATCTCCGCCAAATATTTTTGTTATCTTTTATGTATCTTTGTTGCAGTTGATTTTGCTTTGAAAGTCATCAAATATTCAGATGATACTACAATACGACTTCAGGTGGGTAGTATTTTTATAATTAGCAACAAATTATCCAACTGATAATTTTTTAAATATTTACAAATTTAACCCTTTAATTTCTAAGATTACATTAGTAATTCTCCCTACTGTCTGCCATACAATTCATATGATATTAGTTAGGAGAATTTGGAATTGGATCAACCAATAATCCCTCAATTGGTAATTTTCTTTATTCTCACTACTTGTCTGCTTGATATTAAACTGATAGTGTAAGGAGAAATTCTCTCTAGGTCACTAGTGGGACTTAAAGGGTTAATAAAGATAGTTTAAAATAATTTTGATTTTTTCTGATTTTTTCAGACTCACACAATAGGCCTTGCCAAAAAGGAGGCACTGCTCCTAATCTATTTTGTTTTTAAGTACATTTTGCACTTCATTTTGCACTTCATTTTGCTTTATTCCACACTAATTTTCCCTTTTTTTTTTGTTTCCAAAATTTGAATGATTCATGAATGTGAATCCTTACATGGTTATACAGTTGTGGGATATTGCTGGTAAGTTAACAATTTTTTTCCACATTTTAACTAGAAGAAAGTGAACTTTTGAGCAGGGGATAATTTACTCAACTTTTTACCTCCAAGATTTAATTATCAATTTCACATCATCTGCCATACTTTTAGCAGTCAGTAAGAGAAGGACCCTTCACCATCTCACCTCTCACCTCTCACCTCTCACCTCTCACCTCTCACCTCACCTCTCACCTCTCACCTCTCACCTCTCACCTCTCACCTCTCACCTCTCACCTCTCACCTCTCACCTCTCTCCATATCCCTTTATCCCTCCCCCCTATGAGTTAACCTATACACCTCACCCCTGCCCTGCCCTGCCCCTTTCTTGATCTGTCAGTCATGCAGGTTTTGTAAGGGTCTCCACATGTAAAAAACAGGTATCTGTTAACTCTTATTTGACATAAACTGTTTACCCTCTACACCCTAACATCAATATGCATATTCTCCACACTTTTCTTAATATATTTCTCAAGGTGTAAACAAGGAGAAAATTTTTCAAAAGTCAAGGGCTCTTTAATTGTTGATCATTTCCTTTATTCTCCTGACCTTAATGTGTGATTCAGGGGTGATATTGTAGGGAGAAATTAGATGTAAGTCACAATTAAGGGTCAAAGAGTTGAGAACTAATTATTATTCTGACTTAATGGACATCAACAATTTTCAGGGCAGGAAAGATTTTCATCAATGACAAGAGTCTACTACAAGGGAGCTGCAGCTTGTGTTATAATGTTTGATCTGACCAGTCAACAGACATTTAATAGTACAATAAAATGGAAGAGAGACCTGGATAGCAAATGTACACTTCCTAATGGAAAGACAATCCCATGTATATTAGTAGGAAATAAAGTGAGTTATATACCAATCAACACAATTGATTTAGTAAATAGATTCCATTTTGCCACGCATCTTTTCAGTAATGTGATGAGAACAAAGAAGTGGGACACAAGGCACAAGTGACTGGCTTACTAACTAGTGTTATGCTAGAGTAATATCATGTCATGTTGCTGTAAGAGGTTATCCAGTTTTAATATTTGTCTTCATTAGGGCCTGATGTGAAAACTCAATAACTGCTCCATTATGATTTATAGATATGGTTATTCCTGCTTTCAGTTGACATCTCTTTGGTTAAATTCTATAATTCAAATTTCACCATTTTTCTTTTCATTTAATCTTCAGAGTGATTTATCAAGCACAAGACCCATTGAGAAAGAAGCAATTGACAAGTTATGTAAAGAAAATGGCTTCTTGGGTTGGACAGAGATGTCAGTCAAAGAAGATGTCAATGTATCAGAGACAATGGAGTAAGAAAGATCTTCCCTTTTTTTTTCTTTTCATCTTCTATGTTAAAATCTTCTTGCCTTCAATGCATTTTGGCATGGATACTTCCTAGATAAACCACTCAGCTGATATATGAGTGTTGTCAATGGGAGGGGAGAGATGGGGGGTTCTGATCCTGATTCATGGATGAATGTTAAGCTTAGAAAAAATTTAAATGTTACATCTATTTTTGAAAGTATTTCATCTCACAACTTTAAAGGGAAAACTTCAAATCTCACCTCACCTTGCCTTATTGAAAAATTAATGTGCCAGAAATTAATAATTTATTTATTTTGGGCTCAATCGTGCTTCGCCTAAAAAACTTTTGCTACCCTTGCATGTTTATTCCATCATTATCTTCTCACTGGATAAGAGATTGATGATTTGAGGAGATGTTACAAGTTTTCACTTCAGGTACAGTGTAGTGAAGGGGTCATGTAACCATTAATTTCTACTTGAATTATTTTTCCAGATACTTATTAGCAGAACTGTTAGACAGCTGTAAAAACAATGAAGAAAAAGTTGCTCAGAACAACACTAGTACTGATCAAGGAGGATTTATTGAACTCACAAGTCACAGGATCACTAAAGAAAATGCCAGCAGATCAGGATGTTGTTAAGTTAGCTCATAAAAAATAGAATAACTGATCAAGATTTCTGTTTGATTTTTTAACTGGTTATAGTGAATTCATCCCTCCTTGTACCATGTGGGAGAATTTTATAGAGTGATATATCAAGGGTAGCCTGACTGTATATCAAGCATATTTTTTCAAAAGTGAATGATTATTTTTTGAGGAATTGTTGAAGCCACCATGTCAGAATTTTAATAGTAAGAAATCATGGAGTGGGTGAAAAAAGTCTACTTGCTAGTGGGGGGTGGGGAGGGTGTACCAGTGAAGGGTAAAGGGGTCCAAACCCTTTCACTCCCACACTGGTTTTTTTTTCACCAGGCCTCCCTCCTTCTGCCCTTTCATCATGGGGTCATGGGAGGGGGTTGAGGAGTGTACTACTGAAGGGTAATGGGGTCCCAACCCTTCCACTCCCACACTGGTTTTTTTCACCAGGCCTCCCCTCTTCTGCCCTTTTATGGGGTGGTAGGGTATAATGCATATGTGTGATTATCATGTAACCATCTAAATTATGTTTTTGTTACAGGAAAAAAGGTATAGAGGGTGGGAAATCATTAATTTAGTTTTAGGGAAGAGGGTTTTATAGAAAATAAAATTAATGATAATGTATATAATACAGTTTATATCAGTGTTTCAGGAAAAGTAGGCAATATGCATCTGTGCATGTTTACGCAGAGCTTACACTAATAATGTTTGCAATGATCTTGATTTGCTAACCAAGCACAGTCGATCATACCAACCATTAAGGAAATTTTGAGTCGTCACCAGTGCTTTCAAGCAGGCTGTATTCAATCTTTCATTCCAGGCATAAAATCATTTTCCCCTAAAATTTGTCAATAGTTTTTAAGAAGTGTCATTGTTTTGCATGATAGTGGTTTTCACTCAGCTTTGTTTTTTGAGTGCTCATTAAATACTATAGCATGTAAAATCTACACAGTCTGCTTGCTGAATACAATTACATCACAAGGTTGATTTTTTTTTAATTTAAATGTCTTCTATTTTATAAAAAAATGATTAAACATACAAAGTAAAAAATGAAGATATTTATATTATGGAAAAAGAATTGAACAAAGAAAGTTTATGCAGCTGATCAGTCAATTCAATGAAGTGATTTGTAGTTGTTATAAAATAATAAGGAATTGCCTAAAAATTTATTTAAAAAATTATAACTTAGGCACATGCATACAGAGATTTTCCACATACAATTAAGATATTATTAAACGTCGTTATACAGTTTTGTCTGGGGTCTTAGATTCTTTATACATTCCTAGTTTAATATGACCTGGATTACAATGCATGTAATGTTATATTTTTTTTATTCTTGTCACTTATCTGCTTGATATTGCATTGATATTGTTAGGAGAAATTCTGCCTTGGTCACTCATGGGAGTTAGAGGGTTAAGGTGCTGATGAGAAGAATTTGTTTATCGATCAAGAGCTCCTCAAGTTGATCATTCCTTTATTCTCATGACATTGATGTTTGATTCAGGGGTGATATTGTAAGGAGAGATTAGATCCAAGTCACTTCTAGAGGAATGCGAGAGCATCAATACCTGTTCATCCATCTGTTTTGTGTGACCAATTTTTAATTTAAGTCAATTTGGTGGTAAATAAGATATTTGAATAGAGATCATTGGCAGAAATTATTTGAGGGCTAAAATTTAACTTGAATAGCTCCAAGATTGTTTTTCTTTAATTTTGTGCATGATCATTTCTGTAGAACATTGCAGCTAAAATACTTCTCTCTCTGATAGACCTGAGGGGGAGGAGGGGATGATGTAGAACGAGGTCCGTATGATTGTCATTTTCTTTAGATGTTAGTACT